ATGATTACCCTATCCGATAATAATCCAATGCAGAGGAAATATTGTAAAATAATACATTATTTTATATATATATATATATATTATATATATTTATCTATGTATATTTATATAGTCTTAAAGTTACCACCGGCCCTTTGAGTGCAACCATAATTCTAATGTGGCCCGCGATGAAATTGAGTTTGACACCCCTGCAGTAAGGGAAGGTGGTATCTAAATACAATTTACAGAGGCCTAAAATAACACCGTTGCATCAGACAGACAGACAGACAGACAGACAGACAGACAGACAGACAGACAGTAATTCAACAGTCCTTTCTAATTACGATTATCCAAATGTATTTAATGTGTACTCAACTTTTGACTTTGTAGAATAATCCTCTTTTCTCTCTTCATTTAGCTTTTCTGCAAAATCACAATCCCCATCTTGTTCTCTTCCCACTTCATTATTGGTATCAGGGGGCGTGCGTACACACACACACACACACACACACACACACACACACACACACACACACACACACACACACAGTAAAGTGCTATGAAATGCTGTGTGAAGCCAGGCTGCCACTAAACTGCAATAACATCCGATTTTCCCGACAACCGTCACTATCTACGTATACGAAGTTGCGTTACGTGTGTGTTTTGCGTGCACGCATGTCACGTTGTACTTTCATAATTCCATGATTTGACAAAGATGATAAATGGGATTCATTTTAAATCACAAAAGACATGTTATTTCTGTAAATAAATCAAGTCTATAAACTTAATTTAGACTTGGGGTATGTACGGAAGAGGATTAAGGCCACATGCTTTTTTTTTGGAGGATTTGAAAAATAAATTGAATAGTGCTGGAATGTCAATATATGAGTTGGGTCAAACATTTGTGCACAGCAGGCCCAAACGTTCTGAGGCTTAAGCTGCAAACACCCACGGGACTCCAGAATGACTTCATCTGTCATCTCCCTGCAATGTTTTTGATATTGAACCTGCATGGACACGGTTCAAAACCTCTATCATTGAAGCAGCTGGACCACTCTGTGGCCATAAGGTGTTCCCTGCTTGCCATGATGCTATAGCCAAAGAGCTAAAGGAGTTGCTGACTGAAGACAGAGAGCTCCCAGGCTCAGGTTGGCAGGGATCCAGCAGAGAGGGACCAGCAGGCCAGAGAGCTGAGCAGAAACCAGAGAGGCATGCAGCTGGAGATCACTCAGGCCATGGATGATGACTTCTGGACACTACATCACAGCATTAGTAAGTGATACATTGAACCAAAAAAGATGGTTTCTCACAGCCTCTTTGTACACCATGACCAGGGGTTTTGTAATTTAAAGAAAACAACAACCATTTAATCTGAAGAATTGCAACCAAGATATTTGATGGATTTACAAATGTAGAATCGAAGGTTCGCATAAAATATAAAAAATATATATAATACAAAAAGTTCATTACAAAATTGCATTTATTACTTATGTGAATGTGTTAAATAGTGTATCTCATCACAAAACAGTATGATAACTTATCAGTGAGTCCCTGTTAAAGGTGGGGTAGGTACGTTTGAGAAACCGGCTCGAGATACACTTTTTGTTATTCCATGTAATGCTCTTAACATCCCGATAGCAATGAATATCTTAAATGCTTTGACAATAAATACATACATTTCATCTGTGGAAGCCGTAGTACTGTAAAAAGCACGACCAATCATTTTAGCCGGCCCGGCTAAAATAACTGGATGGCCTACCTGCCTGTCAGCCTTCCATCTGTGCACAAACTTATCTCGTGCCCTCACTGGTCATGTGCATGTTCGTGTGTGTTGGAGGAGGGGCTCTGTAAGGAAGTGGCAGATTTTTTCCGGTTGTGTATTTTCAAATTGTAGCGCACTCGAGCTGGTTTCTCCAAAATTACCTACCCCACCTTTAATTTAAAATGAATGGGATTCTGAATGAGGTTTGTATTTTCCAAGGGCAGTTACAAATCAACTGCCAGAGTTTACAGTTTCTTTCAATTGCTAAAACACGTTTTTTGAAAGCAGTGGAAGCGTTTTGGAGAGTTGAGCTCAGGTTTTGCTCTTTGAGTGTGAGTTTAAATAATTGTGCTTTATGTGAAATTTGAGTGTGTTAGCAACTGGAAAAAACTGGAACAATCAAGAGAAACAAATCTGGCTGTTTCACAGGTCGCGGGGTGTTTAAAGGATTTGTCCACCGAATAATAGATTCCCATTCACTTTTAAAATTAAAGCTGGGGTAGGTATTTGATGGGAAACCAGCTTCGAGTGCGCTGATTTGGAAAATACACAACCGGCAAAATCTGACCACTTCCTGTTACAGAGCTCCCCCTCCAACACACAAAACGCGCCATGGACCAGATGAGGGCACGAGATAAGTTTGTGCACAGATGAGGCGGACAGGGCAGGTGGCCATCCAGTTCTTTAGCCGGTNTGGCTCAGATAATGAAAAACAACAAAATAAGTTACCATAGCTATGCGGATGACACACACATTTACGTAACAATTTCACCAGGAGACTATGCTCCAATTCAAACACTGAGTAAGTGCATTGAACAAATCAATGACTGGATATGTCATAATTTTCTCTGAGCTTCAGTCTGCAATGTTCAAAACAACAGATAAAGCCAGAAATCTAGGTGTAGTCATGGACTCTGACCTGAGTTTCAAGAGTCACATTAAAACAGTTACTAAATCAGCCTACTATCACCTAAAGAATATATCTAGGATTAAAAGACTAATGTCACAGCAGGATTTGGAAAAATATGTCCATGCTTTTATCTTCAGTAGACTGGACTACTGCAATGGTGTCTTCACAGGTCTCACTAAAAAATCTATTAGAAAGCTGCAGCTAATTCAGAACGCTGCTGCTCGAGTCCTCACTAACACTAAGAAAGTGGATCACATCACTCCTGTTCTGAAGTCTTTACACTGGCTTCCTGTGTGTCAAAGAATATATTTCAAAATACTGCTGCTCAGCTTTGAATGGTTTAGGCCCAAAATACTTTTCTGACCTCCTGCTAAATGATGAACCATCCAGATCTCTCAGGTCTTCAGGGACTGGTCAGCTTTCTGTCCCCAGAGTCAGAACTAAACATGGTAAAGCAGCGTTCAGCTATTATGCTCCAAATATCTGGAACAAACTCCCAGAAACCTGCAGGTCCGCTGCAACTCTGACTACTTTTGAATCCAGACTAAATACTTTTCTTTTTGCCGCTGCTTTTAATTGAACTATTCACATCTTAAACTGCACTGTAACTTTTATCCATGTATTTTTTCTTTTAATGTTTATTATCTTTTCTTTTTAATGACTCATTTGAAATGCCATTTTCTTAATGTTTTTGATTTTTTGTAAAGCACTTTGAATTGCCTTGTGTTGAAAGGTGCTATATAAATAAACTTGCCTTGCCTTCCGTGTGCACAGACAGGGCTGCTGTTAACGTCGGTCTGTACAACGGAATTGTGCCAAAACTACACCAACCGGCGGCGGAGGGAGACTCCCCCCCTTCACTGGAGAACTGTGCTAAAATAGCTGATCACCCCCGTCGACTTTCCTGAAGTACTCCCCCGTTGATAGAAATCAACACGTAATGAATTAAGACCCCACGGTTTAATGATAGATAGGTGTAAATTATATATTGTGGTGATTGACATTATTCACCCACGGATCTATGGGTTGGGGTATTGTTCTGCACGGACATTTGAGTGAGCCGGACTTCCTGTTTCGGCCGGTCGCTTCCCGGGCTTGAAGTGTTTACATGTTTTGGCAGATGCTTAATAAAAGTATAGCTTGTACCTTTGATACCCCGCCTCCGACTCCCGTCTCTCGGCACCACATTGGTGACCCCGACATAAGTCTTGTTGAAGGATCCGAGACTGAACCGAGCATGGCAAGTAAGGTCGTTTTTTTTAAACTGCCGGAGTTTTGGGAGACATCTGCGGCTGCATGGTTCACTCAGGCGGAGGCTCAGTTCGCCCTCCCCGGAGTGACTGACGACGCAGCACGCTATTTTCACGTCGTTTCGGCGCTGGGGAGCTCCACTGCGACCCGGACGGTGGGCTTTATTACATCTCCTCCTGCCCAGGATAAATATGCAGCGTTCAAGGCTTTCCTGCTAAAGACTTTCGAGCTGTCACGGTCGGAACGGGCCCGACGCCTGCTCGCTATTCATAGCCTGGGGGACAACAAGCCTTCTGACCACATGGAAATTATGCTCAGCCTGCTGGGTACGGAAGAACCTAATTTTTTGTTCATAGAACTGTTTCTTCACATGCCGCCGCATGTACAGACAGCGCTCGCTAACACGGCTATTACTGAGCCCCGCGCTTTGCCCGAAGAAGCCGACCGGTTCTTCCTGGCAACACAGCGTTGCCAGGAAGGAGGTGCTGGCCCCGACACGCAGCGGCACCTTCCCTGGTACAGGTATGCCACCTAGCAGAAGCTCCGGGGCCGACGTCAGCAACTCCAACCCTGGCCTGTGTTATTACCATGCACGCTATGGGGCGAAAGCGAAGATGTGCGGTCCCCCCTGCACCTACAAGGTAACGGGAAACGCCAAGGCCTGCGCTCGGTAGTGGCCGCGAGCGTGGGCAGATCCAACCGGCTCCTGTTCATCAGGGACACCCTCTTTGGTCGCAGACTCCTTTGTGACACAGGAGCCAAGCGGAGCGTCCTGCTGGCTACTGTGGAGGACGCCGCCGGTGGAGGCCATGGCCCACCTTTAACGTCCGCTAACGACGACGTTTAAGTGGGATTTCGTCACGGCTGACATCTCCTTCGCCCTCCTCGGCGCAGACTTCCTGTGCGCTAACAGGCTGCTGGTGGACGTCAAGAACAGCCGCCTGGTGGATGCGCTGACATTTGCCTCATTCACGTGTACCCGCGGCGAGGCCTCATTCAGCGGGCTCTCCAGCTCACTCTCACAGGGCGACAAGTTCCAGCACCTTCTCAGTGAGTTTCCCGACTTGACGCAGCCCACCTTTTCCGCTGCCACTACCAAACACGGGGTAGAGCACCACATTGACACTGAAGGCCCCCCTGTCTACGCTAGGGCCCGGCGGCTCAACCCTGACATGCTGGCAGTCGCCAAGTCGAGTTCGTCAACATGGAGCGTCTGGGCATCATCCGCCGCTCAGACAGCCCTTGGGCTTCGCCGCTTCCCATGGTCCCTAAATCAGCCGGTGGCTGGCGACCGTGTGGCGACTACCGCCGCCTTAACGACGCCACTACGCCAGACCGCTACCCGGTCCCTCACATCCAGGACTTCTCTGCACACCTGGCGGGCAAACTGGTTTTCTCCAAGGTGGATCTGGTGCGGGGCTACCACCAGGTGCCGGTGCACCCCTCGGACGTCCCCAAAACTGCGGTAATTACGCCGTTTGGGCTTTTCGAGTTCCTGCGTATGCCGTTTGGACTTAAGAACGCAGCTCAGTCCTTTCAGCGGCTGATGGATTCAGCGCTCAGAGACATGCCATTCGTCTTCATCTATTTAGATGACACCCTGGTCACCAGCTCCTCCTCTGAAGAGCACCAGGCACATCTCCGGGTCCTTTTCGCAAGGCTCAACCAACACGGCCTGATTATCAACCCGGCGAAGTGTCAGTTCGGGTTGTCCTCCATCCATTTCCTCGGGCACCTCATCAGCAAGGATGGGGCCGCCCCCCTCCCCTCGAAAGTGGAGGCCGTGTCTGCCTTTCCATGACCGCATACAGCCCCGGGCAGCCCACACCATGCGCCCGCTGTACGAGGCCCTCAAGGTCCTGGGTCGACTCGTGCGTGGCCTGTCAACGGGCCAAAGTCCACCGCCATACTAGGGCCCCTTTTGAACTTTTTGCGGTTCCTGAGAGGAGGTTTGACCATGTCAATGTCGACCTCGCTGGTCCGCTTCCCCCCTCTCACGGTTTCACCTACCTGTTTACGATGGTGGACAGGACGACCCGCTGGCCCGAGGCCGTTCCCCTCGCCTCGACGTCAGCTTCCGACGTCGCCCGCGCTTTCATCGGCACGTGGGTGGCGCGCTTTGGGACCCCGTCTGACCTCTCCTCTGACCGCGGTTCTCAGTTCACCTCGGAGCTGTGGAATGCTGTTGCTGTGGGTGTGGGGGTCAAACTGCACAGCACCACCGCATATCACCCCCAGGCTAACGGATTGTGTGAGCGGTTTCACCCGTCCATGAAGGAGTCACTGCGTGCCGGCTTGACCGACGGCAACTGGGTGGATAAGCTCCCGTGGGTTATGCTCGGCCTCAGGTGTGCCCCCAAAGAAGACCTGCAGTTCTCGTCGGCAGAGCTCGTCTATTGCCAGACGCTACGGGTCCCCGGGGAATTCATTCCCACCGCCACTGTGCCCTGGTCTGAGGCCGGGCAGCGCTCCTCCCTGCTGGAGACCGCCGGGACATTCACGCCCGTCCCCACGTCGCAGCACAGCAACCCAGCTTTCCGGGTGTCACCCGGATTACGGTCGGCGGATTTCGTTTTTATTCGCCACGACGCCCACCGCGGTCCCCTGCGGCCCCCTTACGACGGTCCGTTCAGGGTCATACGTCACGGGGACAAGAGCCTGGTGGTGGACGTTGGTGGCAGGCCTGAGACTGTGTCCATTGATCGGATTAAGCCTGCTCACGTGGACGTTTCCAGGCCGTTGGAGTTGGCTCTGCCCCCACGTCGGGGCCGCCCTCCCATGGCCCGCGCCCCGCCCCCTGTGGGGATGCCCTCGCCCTCGTTGGTGCCCCTGCCCCTGCCCTCGCCTGCGGCCCCGCCCTCCTCGGCCCCTGTGGTCAGATGCTTAATAAAAGTATAGCTTGTACCTTCGATACCCCGCCTCCGACTCTTACCTTCAGGCCGATTTAGATCCCTCCGCTTCGCGTCGGGCTCGTGATCAGCCAGTCGGTGTTCTTTTCCCCATAATGACAGCGTAGCTGCACATTATCCCTTACATATACTGTATATCATATATAATATTATACACCCATAAGTTCGTAAAACCAGTAAATGAAGTGCAAGTTGTGTTGCTCGGACTGGTCGGGATGTTATGCCATGAGTGATGAATATAATTTGAGCTTGTTTACATGATTTCAAATTCTAATCACATGAATTTGGCTTCATGAAAATCAACGACATTAAAAGCAACTGAACTTAAACTGTAAAATAACCATCTAAAAGATTTAGGGGTAAAGAGGATCAAGCCTGCAAAGCCTCCCTTACTGTACTAATGCACTAATACATGCAGCCAATATGTACATGATTGTGCATGTGTATGTGTGTGATTATCAGGCACACTTTCTGAAGTGTATTAATGGAAAGATAAGCACAACTGTCTCATGATTTCCTTTAATTCATGCTGCTAAGTCAGCCAGCAGCCATCTGGCTCCCCCTGACACACACACAGTCCCTCTCAGACACTAACACACAACAAACTCAGAGGGAATGACAGTCTGAGTGCATGCAGTTGGAGAGATATATATGGAGTGACCATAACTCCCAGCTGATGGCGCATTCAGACAGTTCATCACAAAACACATACCACTGACAATGTGATGAGAAACGCCTGGTCTCTTTTTTTTAGGCTCTGAGAATGGAGTCATTTATCAGATCTTCCAGGCATTGGTAAACCATCCAAGGCTCTGGAATAACTCTCAGGGGCTGTTAGTCCATTAAACCTGCCCAGTCCATTGAGGACAATGAGAGAGGCACAAATCGAATAAACTCAATAGCTGGACTGTGTTCCTGGAGATAGCTGTGCCTCCTGCCGAGTTCAAAAGACTCCACTGATGATATGTTAAAGCCAAGTCTTCTGTATTATGCTGCGCTGGGCCTGGAGCTGAAACCAAAACATTTTCAAGCTGTTCATGTGACACTAGTGAAGAGAAGAAAAAAGGAAGAAGCCTTGTGTTGTGAGAATGATGGGATTCAGTGGCAGCTATGGGCTCAGCACATGACTAACTGAGGTCAGCTGGCTTTGTGCTGACATAAAAGTCAAACACTGAAGGAATTGTTGAATAATGTTGGAATTTCCACAACATGGCCTCAGAAAAAATTCCTTTTCCAATGAGGTACTGTAAGACATTTCATGGTCTTACGTTGTCTAAGGTTCTGCTGCGCCAACACAAACCGCTCAGTCAACAGTTTACATTATAAGGACTCTTTAATCCAGAGTGGCTAATGATCCTGACCAGGTACAAACTTTACTGTCTCACTTTTGAAACAATCTGGGACATTACTGTAGACTTGAATCCCCTATCCAAAGAGACAATGACTATAATCTTTTATGGTGAGAAAAACTGCGTAGTATAGAATTCAGGTTTTACTTTAGAGATTTCATTTGTGTTCCAAGTGTTTGATTTAGCTCTTAGACCTAGTTTAGTCTTGATCTTCAATAATGCTTTCTGGTGCCCCGATAGGATCTGCATCTAAAGTGGCTTGGTTGTGAAATTATTCAAATATGGACACAGCAAACTGTTTATAGTAACATTACTTTGCTCAGTTTTTTCCTGTTTCTGCTGATTTAATGTTATAACTTGTAATGTAATGTCAGCTCAGTTAAAGATCATAATGAAATATGCAGGAATACCGTAAGCACTTGCACTTCATACAGTGAACATGCACAGTCATTTTAAGCATGCACATGTAGCCTATTTCAAAAGAGAACCCATTTTTTTTTTAAAAACAGGATGTTACACCTCTGTTTGTTACAGAGGAGGATGAAATTAACTTTGAGCATAATGTAATGTAAAACCAGTGTAACCAAGCAATCTGGACTATTTTACAAAGTCATGTTCAATTCGACGTCTTGAGCTAGCTGGCACTGAACTGTAGCTGGCATTGGTGGAGGATGAAGACTTGGAGAATGGGTTTAATTTGTTTTGGGAAAGCTCTGCCCGGGGCTGAAGATAACACTGGGCTACAACTTGTTGCGATAAAACCGCAAAAGATCAAGGTTGCAGCGCCTATAGGGTTTACAGTTAATGCTGTTTTGATGGCTGTGAGTGGTGGGAAAAGCAGGATGGAAGAGCAGAAGAAGGAAGAAGAGGGATTTTGGGCTACAGGAAGGCATTAAATTGAGCACAGCAGGGATGGAGGGAGAGAGGACAGGGAGGAAGAGGGAGGAAGAGGGAGGGGAGTACAGAGAGAGAAAGAAGGGGATTAGGATAAGGACAGATAAGAGGAATGAGAAATGTCTGAAAAGCATGTTCGCTCAACAGGCGCAAATGTATTTTTCTAGCAGTTGATCATTTCCAACAATTCCTCACTGTTAAGTCAGGTGGTTTTAAAACGAGTCATATGACTCATACGTGTGCCTCAGGAGATAGATGGTCGTCCACCAGTTTAAAGGTTGGTGGTTCAATCCCTCACAGTCAATGTTTCGAAGTATCTTGGGCAAGATAATTACAATGCATGGATAGCTGTGTGTGAATGTGTGTGAGTGTTAGTCTCACTTGAGCAGCTCGAATGCTGACCTGTATATTTAAATTATAAGTGGTTTTGCGGGTTGCAACGACTGGAAAAAAGCTACAAAAATGAAGTTGACCATTTATCATGCAAGAGTTTTCTGGTTATTCTGATAAACCCATGCAGACAGAAAATGGGTGACTGGCCTGACAAACTTGTGGAGCTTTCAGCCACTAAAGAGCCGTGTGTTTCCATTAGAAGTTGGTGGAAAGCAAGAACAGAGCTAAAAAAGCAGAGTTAGTACTATATTATATATTGTGTATCAAATATAGGCTGCTTGCGTTACTGTTCAAAAGGTGATCAAACTATAAGCTGGTAATATGTTGGTGTTGTGTTTACAGGTTGTTCCCACTGCCCCACAGAAATCAGTACATCCATTATACCACAGAAAATACTGCTGCTTGTTTTGACACCATAAGGAACGAGAGTGGAAGCGATAGAAAATGTGCACTGTTGTGGACATGGTAAAACAACTTGCTTGGTACGATTGTTTGTGTGTGAAAGTCAACTGTCAAATAGATTGTGAGGGAGATGCCTATTTGTATGGAAAAGGAAGTGGAGAGAGTAAAGCAAGGCAGAGTGATTCAAGCAATAAAAACAGGAAAATCTAAACATGGGCTTTGCCAAGTCGGGCCCACACTCTGTGATTTTTACCCACTCTAATTTAGAGAGCAGATCAATCTTTCCTTGTGAAGGCCAGGTCACGACAGCAAAATAAAGGGTTGCATTTCAACAACAGCTTTCAAGGCTCTTTAATTAGCCCTATTCTCTTTGTCCCTTATATCCCCATATTAAAAACCATATTGTCACTCCATATGTCTGCTAGAGGCCCGATACAGTAGCTCACAGCGATTTTGCACAATACTCTATGTATCACAGCCTGTTGAAAGATGGCATTATCACTGATAGTATGGCTCCACAGAGAGCTATTAACCAATCAGGCCATGGCCACAGAAAGGATCATAAATAATTAAGCTTCTGTTCAGTTGGCACTTTCAAATTCCAGGAAGTATTAACGATTGGTAGAACTAGCCGCCCATAAATGTCAGTAAACACTCCAGGTTGAGGACTGAAGGTCTAATCAGGTTCTGATGTAATCAACTCAAGGAGCAGATACGGGAGCAACACTCTGGGGAACTCAATCAACTGAAGCGTGACACGGTTTCTTTTCGCTGCACAGCTTTCTTGAGTCACAACCAGAGGATTTTTGTTTCACGGTCACTAAACTTTTACATTGATGTCAGGAGAGTTGTCTTTCCATGCCCGTCTCTTAGCTGATTCACAGTCCATGATTAGACCTTGCTGTGGGACACTAAATATGAACACGGAGTCTGGTTGTAATATTGATCCCACTGAGCCATAAACTGAAGCACATCTCACACTCAGCCTGTCTTTTATTGCCAGATAAAAAAACATTATATTTTACTGCTTTGCAGTAATCATATTCTGCCTCAGGGGGATGAATATATATCTTATTGTAGTCCCCTGCAACAATTAAATTGTTTGAGATACCTGTCAGGGTTCACATTAGTCGCTTCAGTTATTATCACATATTTACTGTATGAGCAAAGCTGTGGCTGACTGCTTCTGCTCATCAGTCACTTCTTATTTACTGGAGCAGCTCCGCTCAGTGTGTTTGAGTAGAGACTTGATCAACAGGAACATCACCTCTCGTAAAAATAAGCTTCATTGCTCTTTATTGCAGAGCACGGGTCAGACACTGCTGTCACATTACAGCTGCTACACTTACTATCCCTCTCTGAGTTTGCTTTCTCCCGTCCCCAGGGCAATGTGTCAAGGGTCTACTATATTTTGATCTATAAAGTTTTTGATTGAAATTATTGCAGTCATAATTATGAAATTATTAACTATTAACTACTGCATACTTGTACATTTTAAGCAATGTGTTAAACTGAGAAATATCCAAATAAATGGAGGAATTCAACATCATTTGAAAAGTCCCTTTGAAGAATTGATAAATAAACCATGAATATCATTAGCTACTGTATGCTAACGGTGTAGCTCTATGATAGATATTCGTTGGTCAAGGCTGAAATATCTATTGGACTATCTGAACATCCATGGTAATGATTCCTAATAACTTTGATGTTTCAACTGATCTTTCCTTAGGGGCTACCATCAGGTATCAATACTTCAAAATACAAAGTACAGACCAAATGCATACTAATTGTCCAAAAACCTACCAAACAAGTGACATTCAGCTTCAGCTGTACGTTTTAATTATAATTGAAAATGTTAGGCATCTAACCAAGATACTAAACGTATAACTGCTAACTTTTTTCATTGTGTTCGCAATTAGCTCAAAGC